CACTTCCAGGAATGGTATGCCATGTTTGACACCATTAGGCTTTAGAGCCTTTTCTGGGTCAACGAAAACTGGCCGCGATTTATGTGAGATTATAAAGGAAATTCTTGATCGATGTGAATCTCTCATCGATCTTTTGCCTGGGCCCCAAACCTCCAGTTACCCTTCCAGAGCACTTCGGTTTGCTTTGTCGCTTGTCGGTCAATGGGCTGATACTTCTAGGTATGGCGTCGGCAGCCTTCAAACTTCAATTGAATCCACAATTAAGGACAAGTCCATCGCACTTTATGATCCGCCGACAGAGCTTATGAACGCTCTCACCAACGCTTATGGGCATGGCATAGACAACCATGAAGAATGTGATGACACGCATATCACTAGTCTCACATCGTCTGGTACGTGCAACAGCAAGAACACCCACAGCGCTCCCTATCTGTCGCCTCTTTGCTCGATGCGCACTACAAATACCTTGCCCAACAAAAATGCTGGTCTGTATCTGTCCGTGGATTGCATATCTCCCATGGGTATTTCACAATACCTCCGAATGTTGCTTGATGCTTTCAAGAACATCTTCTGCCACGAATGGGGGTGCCACGTATGTTTCTATAACGATAAGTGCAAAAAAGGAAAGCACGGTGAATCGGAGCATCCGTGTCAATGCAGTTCCATAGCAAAATGCAAGGGTGTTGCACCAACTCTATATAGTTACGGATTCACATTTAACGATGTGCTTTCATTGAACGCATCGAAGTTTGCAACAAAATGCTCTGACTTCCAACAACAGTTGAGCAAAGTAACAAAATCCAACTATTTCACAGAGTTATTTAAACACTGTGATGAACTACTCTGGAAAATCAGAGAACCTTTCTCCCAGACATTATTAGCCCTCTGGTCGCTCTCGCTCCTGTACCTGCTGCACATCACCGTCGTCCGCCTCGACGTGCTGAGGATACGCTCCCACCTGAGATCACCCTCAAGCCACCGCATCGCCGCGCAGTCCCTACTCGCCGCCGCACGCGTCAAGGCACTCGCCAACGTCAAGTACTTCTCACCATAATCGTGCCTTCACGTGTGATCTGTGTATCACTCACTCAACCACTCACTCACCCACTCACTCAACCACCCACTCACCCACTCACCCACTCAACCACTCACTCACCCACCCACTCACCCACTCACCAACTCACCTAATCACCCACCCACTCACCCACTCAACCACCCACTCACCCACCCACTCAACCACTCACCCGCCTACTCACTCAACCACTCAACCACCCACCCAATCACCCACTCACCCACCCACTCACCCACTCACCTAATCACTCACCCACTCACCCACTCAACCACTCAACCACCCACTCACATACTCACTCACCCATTCACTCACCCACTCACCCACTCACCCACTCACCCACTCACCCACTCAACCACTCAACCACCCACCCACTCAACCACTCAACCACTCACTCACTCACCCACTCAACCACTCAACCACTCAACCACCCACCCACTCAACCACTCAACCACTCACTCACCCACTCAACCACTCACTCACTCACCCACTCACCCACTCAACCACTCACTCACCCACTCACCCACTCACTCACCCACACACTCAACCACTCAACCACTCAACCACTCACCCACTCAACCACCCACTCACCTAATCACTCACCTCCCTCCTTCACTGGTCGCTCCGCTCCCTCCTCCATCACCCCTCCATCACCTCCTCCGTCGGCGTCCTTCACCCAAATCCTCATTTTCCACTTTCTCCCTCCACCTCCTAAATCGCCTCACCTCATCCCACCTTCCCCCTTCATCGCCCTCTTTTGCCGCTTCACTTCCCTCACCCTGTCCACCCACCTCCCTCACCCCCTCGCTGCCTCCTTGACCTAAAATCGCCTTTCCCCAAATTCCCCCAAATCGCCCTCAAAATGTGCCTAAAATAATTTTTCAACATTTGTCAACTTCTTCACTTTCCTCTTATTAGCCCTCTGGTCGCTGTCGCTCCTGTACCTGCTGCACATCGCCGTCGTCCGCCTCGACGTCCTGAGGATACGCTCCCACCTGCGCTCGCCCTCAAGCCACCGCATCGCCGCCCAGTCCCTCCTCGCCGCCGCGCGCGTCAAGGCACTCGCCAGCGTCAAGTACTTCTCACCATAATCGTGCCTTCACGTGTGATCTGTGTATCACTCAACCACTCACTCAACCACTCACTCAACCACTCACTCACCCAACCACTCAACCACCCACTCACCCAACCACTCACCCACCAACTCAACCACTCACCCACCCACTCAACCACCCACTCACCCACCCACTCACACACTCACTCAACCACCCACCTACTCACTAACCCACTCAACCACTCAACCACCCACTCACCCACCCACTCACACACTCACTCAACCACCCACTCACCCACTCAACCACCCAACCACTCAACCACTCACCCACTCACTCACCAACTCACTCACCCACTCACCCATTCAACCACCTAATCACCCACTCACTCAACCACTCAACCACCCACTCACTCACTCACCACCCACTCAACCACCTACTCACCTAATCACCCACCCACTCACCTAATCACTCAACCACCCACTCAACCACCCACTCAACCACCTACTCACTCACCCACCCACTCAACCACTCACTCACCTAATCACCAACTCACCCACCCACCTACCCACACACTCACCCACCCAACCACCCACCTACCCACACACTCACCCACCCAACCACCCACTCAACCACCCACTCACTCACCTAATCACTCACTCACTCACTCAACCACCCACTCAACCACCCACTCAACCACTCCCTCACCCACTCACTCACCCACTCACATACTCACCCACTCAACCACTCACTCACTCACTCACTCACATACTCACTCAACCACCTACTCAACCACTCACCCACTCACCCACTCAACCACTCACCCACTCACCCACTCAACCACCCACCAACTCACCCACCCACTCACCCACCCACTCAACCACTCACTCACCCACTCACCCACCCACTCAACCACCCACTCAACCACTCACCCACCCACTCACTCAACCACTCACTCACTCACTTACTCACCCACTCAACCACCCACTCACCCACTCAAACACCCACTCACCCACTCACCTAATCACTCACTCACCCACTCACCCACTCACCTACTCACTCAACCACTCACCCACTCAACCACTCAACCACTCAACCACTCAACCACTCAACCACTCAACCACTCACTCACCCACTCAACCACTCACCCACCCACTCAACCACTCAACCACCCCCTTCACTCACTCACATACTCACCCACTCAACCACCCAATCACCTAATCACCCACTCAACCACCCACTCACTCACTCACATATTCACCTACCAACTCACCCACCCACTCAACCACTCACCCACTCACCTACTCACTCACTCAACCACCCACTCAACCACCCACTCACCCACTCACTCACTCACCCACTCAACCACTCAACCACTCACCCACTCAACCACCCACTCACCCACTCACCCACCCACTCACTCAACCACCCACCCACTCACCCACTCACTCAACCACCCACTCACTCAACCACCCACTCACTACTCACCCACCCACTCACTCACTCCCTCGCTGCCTCCTTGACCTAAAATCGCCTTTCCCCAATTTCCCCCAAATCGCCCTGAAAATGTGCCTAATAATCATCTTTTAACATTTCTCAACTTCTTCACTTTCCTCCTATTAGCCCTCTGGTCGCTGTCGCTCCTCTACCTGCTGCACATCGCCGTCGTCCGCCTCGACGTCCTGAGGATACGCTCCCACCTGAGATCACCCTCAAGCCACCGCATCGCCGCACAGTCCCTCCTCGCCGCCGCACGAGTCAAGGCGCTCGCCAACGTCAAGTACTTCTCACCATAATCGTGCCTTCACGTGTGATCTGTGTATCAACCACCCACTCACCCACCCACTCACCCACCCAACCACTCAACCACCCACATACTCACCCACTCACCCACCCACCCACTCACCTCCTCCTTTACTGGTCGCTTCGCTCCCTCTCCATCACCCCCTTCCCTCACCTCCTCCGTCGGCGTCCTTCACCCAAATCCTCATTTTCCACCTTTCCCCTCCACCTCCTAAATCGCCTTACCTCCACCCATCTTCCTCCCTCATCGCCCTCTTTCGCCCCTTCACCTCCCTCACCCTGTCCACCCACCTCCCTCGCTGCCTCCTTGACCTAAAATCGCCTTTCCCCAAATTCCCCCAAATCACCCTGAAAATGTCTTAAATAATCCCCTTTTACTTCTTCTAACCCTCCCTTCATCCACCTTTTATCCAACTATAATAACCACTATAATGATGTCCATTACCTTACTCAGGATGCCAGACTAGGAGCCTTGGATGATATTGATGCCCGCCGTATCTCTCTTGGTCAGCTTGCTGGACAGTTTTCGGGATTTATTGGCGGTGGAGAGGAAGTTAAAAAGGCAATTTTATATGGTTTGCAGAGTAATGTAAATCAGCTTATTAAGCTTTTAAAAACATCTTGCGGAGATGAGGGGTGTTGTAATGAAGCTGTGAGTTTCCGTGATGTACATCTTAAAAATCTTCAAGAGACATTTGAAAAATATGATGAAATTGCAACAAAAATTGATGGCCTTAAAAAGCAAAAAGATGAAAAAAGTAAGGCGTCTGTAGGGACGCCGTCCGTCAGTGGTCGTGAGATTAAGGAGCTTGAAGAGCAAATTCAGCAAAATGAAGAGAAGCTTCAAAAACAAAATGAGCTTGTTGATCAGCAAATTACTGCGCTTAAAAATGCTTTAATTGAGCTTAAAAATCAAATTGATGATTACATTCAGAACCGTAATAAAGAAATTACTGAGCTCCAAAGGAAAATTGAAGCGTATAAAAATGAGGAACAGCGTAAAAACCCTGGTAAAAATATCTCCATTCCCTCCCATCTTTCTAGTCAGCTTGCAACTGAGCAGGCTAAATTGAAGTCTCATGAGGCTTCGTTGGAGTCTCTTAAAAGCCTTGAAAAGCTTATGAAATTTCATGAGGAAGTTAAAAAAATTCCCGAAGGCAATAAAAATTGTAAAGATATTTTAGATAAATTGTGTACAGGTCTCCAAACATTTTTAGGTTACAACTCTGATTCCAAAGGCTACGACGGCACTGGCATCGTGTACTCGGACCTTGACAGGCTCTGCGACGGGGTGATGTCTTTCCTTCATGGTGTTCTTGAGAGTGTGAAAAATGATGATAACGTTAGAACATACTATGAAATGTCACCTACGTGCATGGAAAACATAGAAAAGCAGTTAAATACTGGTCAACATGGCTTGTGGAAAGCGGTCGAGGCCTTCAAGGCATGGCATATGTATTATGAGAAAGCGTTGAATGAGAAGATTGGCGCAGTTAAAACACCTTTAGATGGTGTTAAGAGGCAAATAGAAGCTGACAAAAATAAAATAGAGCAGGAAAAAGATTCTGCAATTTCCGACCAAATTAACTCCTGGGCCCTCCGTGCTCAGGGATACATTGACAAGGTAAAAGAGGCCGATAAGGCCAGAGAAAAATTGGATCCATTACTATCCGGTAAAATAAATATAAATGTTTCATTGTTGTTGCAGGCGACAAATACGTTCAAGGAGGCGGCAGAGAGTAGGGACTTGGAAGAACTTCATAGAGAATCCTTCAACGTTATGCAGGGCGTAACGGACCACGTTAATGAGAAATTTAATGCAGGCGTTAAACGGCTTCAGGAGTATTTGAAAGATAAGATTGGCAAGTTGCGTGATAAACTAAACAAGTTGCAAAATGAACAATTTTCTAGATTACAAGAGTCTGTCACTAGTGGGCTTGAGCCGGCGTTCAGGAAGGTGGAAGGAGAGATTCGGGCGCTCGTGGAGAGGTATGGAGAGCACGTTGTTGGTAAGTTGAAAAATATTGTGGATTTCTCAAATCCTTTTTATACGAGATTCGGCGCAACACAACGTGCGCTCAAATCGGCGATGAATCAGGTTGAGGCGGATATAGGGAGGCTTGCGCAGCTTAATACATTTGACCATATTATGGATGGTCAAAGCAAAATCGTTGCGCCTTTACTTCAGAAAATTGCGAGTAAAGATGCGTTCGCCGAACTCAGTGAATATTTCATCTTGCTTGAATCTCTAGTCATGGACAAAGTCAACGATGCGATGGAGGGGATAGGCTCATGGTTAGAGATGCTTTTTCAGTACGGTAGCGGTGAATATATCCATATTGCTTTACATGACCCAAAAGACTCTCTGCATTCTCTTAAGACAATTCTAGAGAACTCAAGCACAATTGCTTTAGAGGTTCCTGATGAGTTGAAAGACTATCTCGTAGATGTTGAGTTCAAAAATCCGAAGCCTAATGTTCGCGGGATTTCAAACACGATTGAAGAGGTGTTAACAAAAATTGGAAAGAGGTCTTCATTTAAGAAAGGGGAGCTCATAACTACTATCAAATCGCTTCTTTCCGATCTCGCCAAAATTGCCGCTGCACTCTCTTCGCATTCCAAGGATGTCATCGAGGACGTCATGGATGCTATTGAAAAGCAAGTCACGAAAGAGATTCAAGGAATAGCAGGGGCTATATTCAAGCAAATTTCGATGATCCATAACGGTATAAAGCAATCAAATGAGTCGAGTGTTAGCATCACCGCGAACGGCCTCAAATTGGATATTACCGGTCTCGAGTGGCTGGTCACTGAGTTTCAAGATAAAATTAATCAGGAACTTGGAACCCTTCAAAAGAGCGTCGGTAAAGATGCGGCAGATGGTCAGGACTGTGTGTACAATGATTTAATGCAACTAAAAAAGCATATCGACACGCTTGGTGAAAATATGGGCATAGTTAAGGATAACGTCCTTTCCGTTGGAACCGAGGTGGAGGCATGCATAAGGTTAAGCAACGATATGCTCATAAAACTTCCTAGATGGACGGAAGTACTTATGGATGAAGTGCTAAGAGATATCAGCAGGGAAATCACTAGGGGGTTCCAAGAAGTCCACGCCAAGGCAAAAACCTTGTACGCTCAGAGGAAGGAAAGAGAAATTCAGGCATTGCAGCAAATTGTCACCGCGCAATTTAGAGATGTAGAAAAAACAATTGAGGAGGATAAAAAGAATGGTGTCAAAGGATGTTTATCAAAAATAAAGTCTCTTTTAGTCCCACAAATCCAAACCATGAATGGTGTCCTGACTGCATCCGAAGATACTATCGGTCATGCTCATAAGCAGGTAAAATCCCAACTCACCCAGGCGGCAGAATTTTTGAAGAAAGGCTTTGCAGAAGTTTTGGAATTTCTGACATTTCAAGAAGAAACTAAGGAATACGATGAAGATGTAAATCAGGTCTCCACTTCTCTGGACACTCTCCTCGGCCAAATCATATCTTCTCACCACTTTGATGATCATGTCTCTTCAAAGCTCTACGACTTTACAAATTCGTTAACCATATTCACCCCTGATATATACAAGGACGCCGCGAAAGATGTGTTGACTCCCATAAAGAAAGGCTTCAACGCTTTCGCCGGGGAAATGGAAAAGGCGTACGTGTCTTACTACTCTGGGCGTCATATAAAGTGGAATAGCGCCGGTGAGGCTGAGAGAAATAAATATGCCGAAATATGCGTGACCATAATGCGCATCCTCTACACAGATTTATCCAGGCTCAAAGAAGAGCTTGAAAAATCAGATACCAAATGGACAACCTATAATATTTATAATCATAAGAATTCCAGCTCCAGTCTCTATAAATTATTCTTCCGCGACAGCGGTTACGATCCTTCTCTTCCAGGAAACACAGCACACGGCGAGTTGAACCACAAGCCAGTGTTCACTGGCACACAGATTAAAGGTCTACTCGACCATGTATTACCGGGAGCATCCCAACTCAACATAACTATTAAGAACAAACAGCAGAGTAATGTTAATGTTTTAGATATTATTCAATACCTAATCCATCACACAGATAAGTACTACGATGCCTGCCACCTTAGACTTCCATCCTCTACGAAATATCCATGTTCCATTAGAGACATCCTGTCGTGGTTTTCCGGTCTGCCGCATACGGCGGTGTATGGCAAAGTTTTTAACCATTTCCACCAGTTGCTTAAAAAAGATGCGTCATACCAAAACGACCCGGTGCTCAAGCCTCTCCTCGATCTTGACCTGTTTACTTATCTAGTTTACACCTGCAGAAAATCGCACGATGTCCTCGCTGCCATACAAGGTCATGGCAACGGCGCTCCTAATGCCGACTATCCCTACGCGTCAAATTTCTGCGACAACTCACGTAGCTTATACTACCCGTCGGACGTATCCTCCCTATTAGATATGCTCTACGATGTCGTCAAACGTCTATGTTACGCGCTATATTTCCTGTACACCAAGTGCATAAATGGCGCCTCTGCTTCCAATGGATGGAGTGGCTGTGCATACGGCCAAGCTATCCCATCACCAAGGTGGCAATGTAAGGGCCACCCAAACACCAGACCTAGCGACCAACCAACTGACCAACCAAATTGCCAACCAACGTCGCCATTACAAGGTTATCTAACAGACACTTTACCCGGTTGGCTACCACATAGGTTGACATCCGTCGGTTGTTCATCTAAATGCGCCACCTGTACCAATGCCTCCCGTGGTCAACAATGTATAACACCTATGGGCTTCTGGGACTTGTATGATGCGGGGTCTATTGTCGGAAGTGGTAAAGATATATGTAAGCTGCTTGCCGACTTGTGCGCTGATGCCGATGCAGTCCTCTTCAAACTCTACAGAGGTCTGTCACTCCTGTCTCCATCGCCACCTAAAACATTGGGGGACATGATGTCATTCTTTAGTCATTCGTTAAGAACTTGGGCATCCGGAAGATTTATGAGCAACAATGATTTTATTTATGAGATGAACCAAAAAACCATCCCGAACAGCTTCCCGCTGCAGTTAACGCTGCATGGCAGTCCTGAAGCATCTCAACTCACCGATGCTCTCCGAGATTTATATTATTATAAGGATGGGCACAACGGTAAAGCTGCAAAGGATGACACGCACTGCGACCTTTCAAGCCTTGTGGCCTCATCCACCTTATGCCTAGGCCGTTTGTGTATACCGTATCTGCAACCGCTCAGTCACGACGGCAATCATACCTATGCACTGAAGCACGCAGGTCTATACTTGTCCTGGGCGCTTTATTTGGTGTTCGACTTCCATGAATTGCTCAAATCACTATTTGACGCATTCTGCAGTATTGATTGCAAATCGTCAGGTTGCTCATCATGTAACTGCTTAAGTGGCAAGCATGGAGTGAGCGAACCAAAGTCGGAACCAAAGACCCAGGCAATTGGCAAACCAAATGTCCAAGCAACGTCCAAACCAAACATCCAACCAAAATCAGGATGTCACTGCCAGTCTATGGTTCAGTGCAGTGGTGTCCAACCAACGCTCTTCAGATATGGTTTCACGTTCGGCAATCCAGAGAAATTGATGAATGGTTCAAGCAGGAAAACGTGCGACAGTTTTTGTGATCAGTTGAAAAAAGTAATAGAGTCAGATCATTTCAGGAAATTATTTGAGGTCATCGACAACTTTATATGCGCCATCAGATTCCCCTTCATGTCGTTATTGCTAGCCCTCTGGTCGCTGTCGCTCCTGTACCTGCTGCACATCACCGTCGTCCGCCTCGACGTCCTGAGGATACGCTCCCACCTGAGATCACCCGCAAGCCACCGCATCGCCGCGCAGTCCCTCCTCGCCGCCGCACGCGTCAAGGCACTCGGCAACATCAAGTACTTCTCACCATAATCGTGCCTTCACGTGTGATCTGTGTATCACCCAACCACCCACTCAACCACCCACTCAACCACTCAACCACTCAACCACTCAACCACCCACCCACTCAACCACTCACTCAACCACTCACCCACCTGCTCACTCACTCACCCACCCACCCACTCAACCACTCACCCACTCAACCACTCAACCACTCACCCAACCACTCAACCACTCACCCAACCACCCACTCACTCAACCACCCACCCACCCACTCACCCACTCACTCAACCATTCACTCACCCACTCACCCACCCACCCACTCAACCACTCACCCACTCACGCAACCACTCACCCACCCACTCAACCACTCACTCACCTCCCTCCTTCACTGGTCGCTTCGCTCCCTGCCTTCACCCCCTCCATCACCTCCTCCGTCGGCGTCCTTCCCCAAAATCCTCATTTTCCACCTTTCCCCTCGACATCCTAAATCCCCTTCTTTCAACCCATCTTCCTCCTCCATCGCCCTCTTTCGCCCCTTCACCTCCCTCACCCTGTCCACCCACCTCCCTCGCCCCGTCACTGCGTACTGCCTCCTTGACCTAAAATCGCCTTTTCCCAAACTCCCCCAAATCGCCCTGAAAATGTGCCTAAAATAATCCCCTTATAACCTATTAATAATTCTAAAAATATCTCCATTCCCTCCCATCTTTCTAGTCAGCTTGCAACTGAGCAGGCTAAATTGCAGTCTCATAAGGCTTCGTTGGAGTCTCTTGAAAATCTTGATAAGCTTATTACATTTCATAAGGAAGTTAAAAATGCAGACAATAAAAATTGTAAAACACTTTTAACAAATTTGTGTACAGGCCTCGAAAAATTTCTCGGCTACAAGGAGGGGAATTACACTGGCTCCGGCATCGTGTACTCCGACCTCGACAGGCTCTGCGACGGGGTGATGTCTTTCCTTCATGGTGTTCTTGAGACTGTGAAGGATGATGAAAGTGTTACAACTTATGATAATTATGATGCTTTGAAGATTGATAAAGTTATTAATGGTTTACATGATAGTGTAGGTCAAGGCCGTCAGGCCTTCCAGGCCGCCGTGTCTCAGGTAAGTGAGTGGTTGAAAAAACATGGTGCGCAGGTGGACACATTGAGCAAGAAAGTGACTGGAGGATTATCTGCACTTATAGGTAAGTTACATGATGGGTCTCATGGTGTTTCAGGTGACGGGAAATACTACAAGGAAGTGGCGGGACGATCGGGGAAGGAGCTGCAGGAGCAGCTGAGGGAGTGGAAGGAGACACTCCACGACATTTTCAATGACTTAAATAACACTGAAACTAATGTTGATTTACTTGATAGCGCACTTAAGCACAAATTAGCTAGTGAGGTACGGCCGATCAAGGAGGCCGTTAAGGTGTTGCATGACAGTGCTGAGAATGACCTGTTCGTGGAGCAAGTCAAGTTGGTGGACGAGGAGTTGGTGAAGCAGTTCTCGAAGATGTGTAGTGGAATTGGGGAATTGAGAAATGAGAATGTAAAACGCCTTGTGACTGCGAAACGTGCCGTCGTATTGGCCAAAGAAATGGTTGAAAGTGAATTGGGGCGTGTTACAGGTACTCATCGAATTGAGATTTTAAATCTGTTTGATGCTATTAGGAAGGATGTTAGAGATGTGTATTTAAGTTTAAACAATAAGAAGGTGGAGCTGAAGAATTTGGTTGCACAGGCTCGGGAGGCCTTTGGGACATTGAAAATAAATACAGTTAGCAAAGGATCCCGTAGTTCAGATGATAAGAGTGTTGATTATAATTGGGACATGCTTAAAGGGGAAATTAAATGGCTTGTTGACAAAGTCAATGGAAGTAGTAACAATCCAAACAAATATGAAGGCCTTAAGGGTATTAAGAGAAGGGTAGAGGAGTATGCGGAGAAATTTAGAGAAAGTGTTATGTTTAATGGTGTGGTGGAGCAGTGGATCACGAAGATTCTGGAGAAGGAACCACTGAAGGGTAAGCTTGCGCAGTACGTGAACTCTAATAACGCTCAGCCCCAAGTTGACATGAATTCAACCAATATAGGTTATATTGCAACAGTTATTAGAACTCATCTTCGCTTCCAAATTAATGCAGCGGTTCAATCTTTCAACAATCAGGTAGAAGCAAACGGTGCCAACAACGAAATCACAAAGAATGTTGCAGCCGTGAAAAGCGTCTGCGAAGCGTTCTCCAGACAAATAGGAAGTTCAATAGGCACAACGATTCGACTCACCGACATTGTCTCCGGAATCGAGACTCAGCTGCGGCCGCGTGGCCGATACTCCGGTGCTTCTATTTCTCCCAATCAAAACTGTGATCTTACAGCTACCGTTGCAACTATTATAGCCGCTATCCAATCCGAATCTCAACAGGTTAGTGACGAACTGCAGTCGTTCACGTCTAAAGCCGAAATGAGGTTTAATTACGACCTCGGCAGGAACGTGCATAACGCTATAACTGATATTGATAAAATCAAACAGCAATTTGACGGCAACGAAGACGAGACAATAAACGGAGGATCAAATACTGATTTCGGTAATAAGATAGACAAGGCATTGGAAGCCGTGAAGGAACCAATTAAGAAGCTTGAGACATTATTAACAGAAGGTGTTGACGGTTCAATTGAGCATAAGCTTATCAATGAAACTTACGGCCTTCAGAAGGTCCTTAACGAGCTTGACGGAATTACGAAAGAACACGGTGATGATGGTAAAATTAAGAACAAGATGAATGCAGCGGAAGACATAATGGATGTTTTGAAAACAAAACTCAGAAACCAACTCAAAGCGATTGAAGTAGCCGTTAACAACGCTGATTCATGCTTCAACCACTATATCAAAATTCTTGAAGCAGTCGTACAAGCAGTGCAGGATAGAGTCACCACCCAAGTCCGCTCCCTCTTCACCAACCAAAAACTCGCCGACCTCTCCGCGCTGCACAAACTGGTCGAACGCCAAGCCAAAAAGATCGCAAACATCATTTTCAGTGATACGACCAACGGCCTCAAAGGTTTACTAAATCACATGGGAACGTGGTTACCGCACAATAAATCACCTGTCATCTTCAAAAATCTAACATACTTTAATGATGTCGCCGTCGACATTAAGTATCTCCTAGATGCCCTCCTCTCCTACACCGCCGAACAGGTCAAGACGCCGAGCAAGGGGAAGAAGGGAGAGAAAGAAGAGAGTGAGGGGTCCAAGAAAGTTCAGGACATCAAATCGGCAGTCGACAAATTACTCTCCCACCTCTCCAAATCTGACAAACTCTACAACTTCGACTATGAATTCCAACAAAAACTCTCCCAACTCACCGACGCAGTCAACGCCCTGCACGCCGAAAAATTCGCCGGCCACCAGAATCCAGAATTGCTCGACGCGCTGAAGAAAGGGATGCTTGGCATTACCGGCGAGTTGGGACACGCGTACGTTAATAGGTATGATAGTCAGAAATTCACGGAAAACTTAGTCGACGCTAAATATGAATTAACCCCCTCAAAAAATACCACAATCATAACGCTGAGAGATTATGGACGGAAGTGTTCTAAAGTCTTCCTCACCATCTTAAACATTGCTCAAGACGCTCTAAGTAGGCTGCACTATAAGTGTAATGGTGACTGGAAAAACAAAAAACTCTGTAAAATTGAAAATAACGACGAGAATCCCCTTGGCAAATTCTTACATGACTGCGGTTTCGAGGTCGCCAAAAATGAGACATCCAAGGACGGCGAATTACATCATGAGAGTGTATGGAATGGGAAGAAGATACATGAGGATTGCCTTAAGACCGTTCAAGACGCCACCAACGATGAACATCTTAAAGCGTGCGCATCAAAAGACGGCAACATTAAAGTGCTAGACATCCTTAAATGCCTTATAACTCACCTTAACCAATATAACCAAGTCTGTCACATAGCAACATTCACCGCCACTAGGACACCCTGCAGTATTTTTGATATGCTGTGTTGGCTGTCCGGACTTCCGCATAATGCAGTATTCCAGAAACTCACAACACATTGTAGCTCATACGACACAAAAGGTGACACCGATTTACGGAAGCGTTTGTTAGACGCCGTAGCATATAGTTTCCCCAACATCGGCAAGTATTCACATAATATGTTGACCACTATTGTTGGCACTGGAAACGCCGATACCATATATGGCTCTGACCTCGCTAACAACTCTCTTAAATTTAAATACCCTGCTTCAGCCGAGGAATGCATACATACTCTGCTTGACATATTGCGTAGATTGTTGCCGGTATGTAGATTTTTGTATAAACAATGTGGAGTCCGTCCATCTCATTTCGGTTGGCGTGATTGTCAATACGGCAAAAATATTCCCACCGCCAAGTGGCCGTGCACCGACCATTCAACTGACAAAGCAAATAGCCAACCAACTGACCAATCAACGTGCCAACCAACGTGCCAAGCAAATGATAAACCAAATTGTAAACCAACGTGTCAACCAACGTCACCACTAATGTCTTACTTAAATGACTGCTTACCGGGCCACTTACCTCATCAATTAATGAGTGTTGGATGTATGTCGGTATGCTCCACCTGCCCTTCCACTTCCAGGAATGGTATGCCATGTTTAACACCATTTGGCTTTAGAGCCTTTTCTGGGTCAACGAAAACTGGCCGAGATTTATGTGAGATTATAAAGAAATTCTTCACCAATGTGAATCTTTCATCCCTCTTTTGCCTGTCGCCCAAACCACCAGTTACCCTTCCAGAGCACTTTGGTTTCGCTTTGTCGCTTGTTGGCCAATGGGCTGATACTTCTAGGTATGGCGTACAGAGTCTCAAAGCTGTAATTGAATCCGCAATTAAGAACAACTCCATTGCACTTTATGATCCGCCGACAGAGCTTATAAAGGCTCTCACCAACGCTTATGGGCATGGCATAGAAGGCCATGACGAATGTGATGATACGCATGTCACTAGTCTCACATCGTCTGGTACGTGCAACAGCAAGAACACCCACAGCGCTCCCTATCTGTCGCCTCTTTGCTCCGATGCGTACAAATACCTTGCCAACAAAAATGCTGGTCTGTATCTGTCGTGGATTGCATATCTCCCATGGGTATTTCAACAATACCTCGAATGTTTGCTTGATGCTTTCAAGAACATCTTCTGCCACGAATGGGGGTGCCACGTATGTTTCTATAACGATAAGTGCAAAAAAGGAAAGCACGGTGAATCGGAGCATCCGTGTCAATGCAGTTCCATAGCAAAATGCAAGGGTGTTGCACCAACTCTATATAGTTACGGATTCACATTTAACGATGTGCTTTCATTGAACGCATCGAAGTTTGCAACAAAATGCTCTGACTTCCAACAACAGTTGAGCAAAGTAACAAAATCCAACTATTTCACAGAGTTATTTAAACACTGTGATGAACTACTCTGGAAAATCAGAGAACCTTTCTCCCAGACATTATTAGCCCTCTGGTCGCTGTCGCTCCTGTACCTGCTGCACATCGCCGTCGTCCGCCTCGACGTCCTGAGGATACGCTCCCACCTGAGATCACCCGCAAGCCACCGCATCGCCGCCCAGTCCCTCCTCGCCGCCGCACGCGTCAGGGCACTCGCCAACGTCAAGTACTTCTCACCATAATCGTGCCTTCACGTGTGATCTGTGTATCACTCACTCAACCACCCACTCAACCACTCACCCACTCAACCACTCACCCACTCAACCACTCACTCAACCACTCACCTAATCACCCACTCAACCACTCACCCACTCAACCAACCACTCACCCACTCAACCACCCACTCACCCACTCACTCACCCACCCACTCACTCACTCAACCACTCAACCACAGACTCACTCACTCAACCACTCAACCACATACTCACCCACTCAACCACATACTCACTCACATACTCACTCACACACTCACCCACCTACTCACCCACCCACTCAACCACCCACTCAACCACCCACTCAACCACTCACCCACCCACCCAACTACTCACTCACCCACCCACTCAACCACTCACTCAACCACTCACTCAACCACCCACTCACCTAATCACTCACATACTCACCCACTCAACCACCCACCCACCCACTCAACCACTCAACCACCCACTCAACCACCCACCTAATCACCCACCCACTCACCCACCCACTCACCCAACCACTCACCCACATACCCACTCAACCACTCAACCACCCACTCAACCACCCACTCACCCACTCACCTCACTCACCCAACCACCCTATCACTCACCCAACCACCCTATCACTCACCCACTCACCCAACCACTCACTCAACCACCTCCCTCCTTCACTGGTCGCTCCGCTCCCTCCTCCCTCACCCCTTCCATCACCTCCTCCGTCGGCGTCCTTCACCCAAATCCTCATTTTCCATCTTCCTCCTTCATCGTCCCCTTTCGCCCCTTCACCTCCCTCACCTTGTCCACCCACCTCCCTCACCCCTCACTGCCTCCTTGACCTAAAATCGCCTTTCCCCAAATTCCCCCAAATCACCCTGAAAATGTGCCATTTCATTCCCCTTTACTCCTTTTAACTCTCCCTTAATCCACCTTCAATCTAAGTATAATGGCCATTATAATGACGTTCATTACCTTTCTGAGGATGCAAGAAAAAGAACCTTAGGGGATATTAAGGAGCGGCAGGATAAACTTGAAGATCTTAAAAAAAGCCTTGAAATATTTACTGAGAAAAGTAAAGCAGAGGAATGCAAAAATCTTTTAACAAATCTCACTGAAGGTTTAGAAAAGTTTCTTGGTTACAATAAAGATTCCAAAGGCTACGATGGCACAGGAATCGTGTACTCCGACCTTGACAGGCTGTGCGACGGGGTGATGGCGTTTTTGTGTGGAGTGCTTAGTGGAGTGAAGGATGATAATAACGTTACAACATACAATAAATACATTAAATTAACAGATAATCAAAATGATTTACATACTGTCCTTCAGGATCTCCAATCTTCCATTGGCCAGGGACGCAGTGTCTTTGGTGATCAGGTTGGAAAGGTAAGTGGATGGTTACAAAAATATTGGACGCAGGTGGACACGTCAACTTTTCAAGTTACCCATGAATTAAATGGGCTTAAGAAGGATTTAGAAGGTAAGTACACTGAACAGATTCATAATACGCAGGGACTTCAAGAACAGCTCAAGGAGTGGAAGACTACACTAACTCACATAGAGACTGACGTTGAACATATAAAAAGTAATGTTGATAGATTAGATAAACCGTTGCACAGTAGCATCACACATAAAATAGAACCACTTAGCGCGGCAGTGAGATTGTTGCTTAACTCTGCAAAGAGCGTGGGCTTAGAGCATCAGGTGCTTAAGGTTGATCATGAGTTGGTGAGGCAACAGAATGACGTAATCAAGGCAATTGATGTGGAAAGCCATAAGGTGCAGATGAAGTTAAGGGAAGAGTTTCAGAAGATTAAAAACTATATGAGTGGTCTTTACAGACTACATACTGAGCACTTTAAGGATCTGAAGAATCGTGTGGAATCGCTGTATGACAAGACACAAATGCTTTTTGCCGGGTTTAATGCGGATTATAAAGAATGCATTTCGCGGTCTTTTGACCACATAAAATTGCAAATAACGGACATTGATAAGAGTAGAAATCCTGATAAAAATATGTGTAAGCTTAGATCGGAAATTGACGCCTCCAAATTCAATCTTCTTGGAATGGAAAATGTTCTGGGCAATTATATGGACGAGTTGGAGAGGTGGATGGAGATGACCAAAATGTTCATCGATGAGGCGGAACACAAGTATGTAAAGAAAATAATAGAAAAGGATACGGGCTTTCAAACTCGGGAAACACTTGAAACTATTGCAACTAAAGTGTTGGAGCAGAAGAATATGGCTCTGAATGATTACATTAAGACGGATATAAGAGATGAGCTTAACAGGATGCTTACAGAAACAAAAGAGAAGGTTAAAGAATTGGATGACAAAGTAAAAGAAGATTTGAAAAAGGCAAAGGAAGGGGTCGACCAGGCAATATCGGGCTATGTTAAACAGCAGGTTAAGGCGGTAATTGACGCTATAAAGGCGGCCGATGCCTCTTTCAATGGTAGGGGTGGTAAGGGTGTTCAGGGCTTGCAGAAAGTGAGCGCATTGAGAGACGCGCTTTTGAAGGCCGGTGAAGAATTGAAAGCAGACCTGGAAGGTGCCTTGAATTTTATCAATTTGAACGATGAGACTAAACCCGATAGTTGGAAAACGGACGACTCAAATCCCATCATTGCCGCACTCAAAAAAGACCTCAGCAAGGCAGTCGAAAATAGATTTGTCGGATATATGGAGAAAGACATTAACGTGGGAAGTATCATGCGCCAATTCACTTCAACGAAGGGAGAGATTTCCAATTCGCTAGACAATATTATAAATGTGGCCTCCGGGTTTAGCGTCCAAGAAACGAAAAACGAACTTGGCACAATCTCAACCCAAATCACCGACAATCTCAAAAGACTAGCCGATGAGTATGCGGATGCCGGCAGGTATATTAATCGTTATTTGTATGATTTAAAAAATGACCATATAGGTGCTGTTCTCATGGCACTTAGGAACAAAACGGCACGTTATATAATCGATAAAGTTAAGGATATCATCACTGGCATAAACTCCTCCATCGCCATGGTAGGGTACCTGGAAAATGCACCAGGTCAGGTTGACGCGAAGAAAGAGGAAGTTAAAAGACTTATGGACCAATTAAACATTCGTATACAGGGAATATTAGTACAAATACAAGAACTATCGACCGCCATAAGTGCTGCCGATAAAGTGCTATTCGAAGCAATGGACGTAGTAGACAAATCAGTTCGCTCAGCGCAAAACGTTACCGAACATGCCGTTGACCAACTCCGAATCGAACTTGCTTCCATCACCAAAAAATCTTTTGACATCGTGACTAATTCCGTCCACTCCCTCTTCTCCGCCTCCCACGCCGCCGACCTCCAGGCCCTGCGCGCGCTCGTCGACCAGCAACTGCGGGAAGTGCAAACAATAATCGCGCGGGACGCAGTCACGGGCGTGAAGGGGATGCTGAAGACGCTGAGTGGTGTTGCCATTGGTGCTAAAAATATGAATTTCACTGATCCAAATAATCTGCTTAACAAGCTTAAAGAGGCTGTGCCTTCTACAACTCAGAAGCCTACGACCCCTCTGTCGGCTGAAGATTATCGTAAACACTTTAAGGAGTTGGCTTTAAATTTCAAGCTTTATCTCGACTATGTTCTAGATTACACAGGAGACCAGGTAAAAAATCCGCCGGCAAATGAAGGTCAGCCGTTACTTCCCACTGAGCAATCTGCCAAGATTGTTAAAATTCAAGAGGGCCTGAAAGCTTTACTTTATCATCTTGGTTACTACGATGATAAATTACAAAACGACGATCCGAAGAAAAAACGTGTACATATTTTCGACCATGAATTCTCCTCATTACTCGCCTCCCTTTCCTCTTCCATCTCCTCCCTCTCCCCCTCCACGTTCCACGGCTTCCACAACCCGCTGCTCCTCGACGCCCTCAAGGCCGGCATGACGCAATTCACCGAGCAACTCGGACACGCTTACGTGAATACATACAGTGGTAGAATCCCTAAAGATATCTGGGTGACGCAAGAGCAAAAACTTATTGACGGCACCCCCAAAACTATAAAAGTCCTTTCAACCGAGGGCCGCAACTGCGCCAAGGTCTGCCTGACCATACTGGAGATGATGAGTGAAGACTTGGCATATTTGAAAGAAAAATGTGATACGAAAAATGGCCCTTGGAAACATAACACAATATGCGAAACAGACGAAAATAAGACCAATAAACTCGGACTTTTTTTCAAGAATCGTGGCTTCACCATTCCCAGTGGTGAGGGTTCCAAGCAAGATGGACAGTTGAGATGTAAAGGCGATATGACAGGTGGGCATATTTGTCAAAAGCTTGATGACGTAATATCTAACGCCAAGGATGATGAACATCTCAAGGCGTGCAATGCAACAAAGGAAAATGAAATTAAGTTTAATGTCATCGGTATCCTTGACTGCCTACTCAGTCACCTTCATCAATATTACAAAGTTAGTCACATCTCTTCATTCGCCGCCAAAAAGTCACCATGCTCCGTCTATGAGATGCTCTCCTGGTGCTGCGGTCTGGAGTATAACAGTGCTTACGAGAAGCTTAAGCAGCATTGTCAAAAGCTTTGTGATGATGAGAAAGACAGCCATTTAAAAACTATACTCTCCAAGCTTCACAAGGACGGTTTGCCGTATCTATCTAGCAATTCACGTAACTTGCTAACCGCTATCCTCGGCACAGGGGATGAACACACTACGTACGCCTCCGATTTTTCTACCAATTCCCTTTCGCTCAAATACCCTGGCAGTGGAGCGGAGTGTCTTGACATGCTTCTCGATATTCTCCGTCGTTTGTTCCTGCCACTTAGATTCCTGGACGCTCAGTGTAGTCTATCAAACAAGCATTATGGCTGGGCCAATTGCCAATATGGCAAGGACATCGCTCCAGTCAACTGGCCATGCAAGGACCATTCAACCAACAAACCAAATGGACAGTCAGCGTCTAAACCAACTTGCCAGGCAAATGACCAACCAAATGGTCAACCAAACTGCCGACCAACTTCACCTTTAATGTCCTACTTAAATGATTGCTTGCCGGGTCACTTGCCGCACCAGTTAATCGATGCCGGTTGTAAGTCATCGTGTTCCACCTGTAAGACAGCTGCACGCGGCGTGCCTTGCTTGACGCCACTTGGCTTCAGAGGTTTCTCTGGAAGTACGCGCCTGGGCAAAGAGCTATGTAACGTGCTGACCAAATTGCTCGATGACGCTGACCTCAGATCCATATTCTGCCTTAAACCGAAAACGCCGGCTTCGCTCCCAGAGCACTTCGGTTTTGTGTTATCGTTTGTTAAGGATTGGAATGACGGTAAAAATTCACATAAAAACTCTATCGAAAATGCGTTTGAGAATTCTATAAAAAGCCAATCTATTGATCTGTATAAGAACACCGCAGAACTTACCAATGCACTGCGTGACGCATACCGTAGTAGGCATTACAATTATGCTGATAATAGTCATCGTCCTCTATATGACGATTTATCAAGTCTTTCTATGACATCGTCGTGTAGTGACCCTATTAAAAATACATTGTGCGCTCCGTATCTGTCATCGCTATCCTGCGACTCCAATTATTACCTGGCACTGAAGCATTCCAACACATACCTCTCATGGGCCATATACCTCCCTTGGACATTCTGGGATCTACTCAACAATCTGTACAATGCCTTCTGCTCTATCACTTGTGCAGATTGGGGATGCCGTGGATGTCTCAGAGGAGACAAGTGCAAGAGTGGCAAGCATGGTGTCGTTGAGGATGAGAAGAAACAAGATGACGTTTGCCAGTGTGATTCCATAGTCCAGTGTAAAGGAGTATCATCCACATTCTACCAGTATGGATTCAGCTTCGGCGAGGCGTCGACGTTGAATAGTGGTAGCACAGCGAAGAAGTGTAAGGATTTCTGCACTCAATTATATAAGGTGTTACATTCTGATTATTTTGTTAAGCTGTTCAAGGAGTGCGACAATTTCCTATGGAAAATCAGGGAACCTTTCATCTGGATATTGTTGTCCCTCTGGTCGCTGTCGCTCCTGTACCTGCTGCACATCGCCGTCGTCCGCCTCGACGTCCTGAGGATACGCTCCCACCTGAGATCGCCCTCAAGCCACCGCATCGCCGCCCAGTCGCTGCTCGCCGCCGCACGCGTCAGGGCACTCGCCAACATCAAGTACTTCTCACCATAATCGTGCCTTCACGTGTGATCTGTGTATCACCCACTCACCCAACCACTCACCCACTCAACCACCCACTCACTCAACCACTCACCCACTCACCCACTCAACTACTCACCCACTCAACCACCCACCCACTCACCCACTCACTCACTCAACCACCTACTCACCCACTCACCCACTCAACTACTCACCCACTCACTCAGCCACTCAACCACTCAACCACTCAACCACTCACCTAATGACTCACCCACTCACCCACTCAACCACCCACTCAACCACTCAACCACTCAACCACTCACTCAACCACTCAACCACTCACCCACCCACTCACTCACCCACTCACCCACTCACTCACTCACCTCTCACTCACCCACTCAACCACTCACTCACTCACCCACTCACCCACTCACTCACTCACCTCTCACTCACCCACTCAACCACTCACTCAACCACTCACTCACCCACCCACTCAATCACTCAACCACTCACTCAACCACTCAACCACTCAACCACCTACTCACCCACTCACTCAACAAACTAACCACTAACACTCACTCAACCACCAACCACCACCCACTCACCTAACTCACTCACCCACTCAACCACTCAACCACTCACTCACTCACTTACTTAACTCCATATAACCACCACCCACTCAACCCACTCACTCACCCACTCACCCACTCACATACTCAACCACCCACTCACCCACTCAACCACTCACTCACCCACTCACCCACCCACTCACTCACCTCCCTCTTCCACTGGTCGCTTCGCTCCCTCTCCATCACCCCCTCCCTCACCTCCTCCGTCGGCGTCCTTCACCCAAATCCTCATTTTCCACCTTTCCCTCCACCCCTAAATCCCCTTACCTCCACCCATCTTCCTCCTCAATCGCCCTCTTTCGCCCCTTCACCTCCCTCGCCCTGTCCACCCACCTCCCTCGCTGCCTCACTGCCTCCTTGACCTAAAATCGCCTTTCCCCAAATTCCCCCGAATCGCCCTGAAAATGTGCCATTTCATCCCCCTTCACTCCTTTTAACCCTCCTTTAATCCACCTTCAATCCACCTACAATGACCATTACAATGAAGTTCATTACCTTACTGAGGACGCCAGGGGGAAAGCCTTGGATGATATTGATGCCCGCCGCATCTCTCTTGGTCAGCTTGCTGGACAGCTTTCGGGTTTAATTGGCGGTGGAGAGGAAGTTAAAGATGCATTGTTGAAGGGTTTACACAGTACTGTAAATCAGCTTATTAAGCTTTTAAAAACATCTTGCGGAGATGAGGGGTGTTGTAAGTATAATGTCGACAAAATTAAGAGTTTTGAAAAAAATGTTGATGCCCTTAAGGAGCATTTAAAAGGACTTAAAAAGCAAATTGAGTCTCAAATTTCTAACCTCAATGCAAAAGTTGAGCCCGCCAAAAATGCAATTCAGGCACTTGAAAGGCAAATTAATGATCTTAGAGCCAAGAAAAATTATAAAGATGAAGACCTTTATAACCTTCAAAAACAACTTGGTGCTAAAAAATTTGAATTTCCTGAGAAGCTTTCTAAATCCCTTGACTCTCATAATGCTTCCAAGAGGTCTCTTGAGACACTGAATGGGCTTTGTGGATATGCTGTTTCACTTAAAACTCCGAAAGATGGAGAATGTAAAAACATTTTAAACAATCTGTGTTCAGGTCTCCAAACATTTTTGGGGTACAATAAAGAGTCCAAAGGCTACGATGGCACCGGAATCGTGTACTCGGACCTTGACAGGCTCTGCGACGGCGTGATGGCGTTTTTGCATGGTGTTCTCAGTGGAGTGAAAAACAATCAGACATATAATATGGGCAAAAAAGTGTTGCAGAAGCTTGTTGAAACAGAAATTAAGAATGCTTTATGTAAAGGCCATGAAGGCTTTAAAACGCTTCTCCCCAAGTTGACGAAGCAGGTGGAGCAGTATAACAAAGATGTGAAAGCATCGAATGACAAAATTAAAATCCCGATTGAAAAGCTTTTACAACACATTAATGAAAATTTTAGAAGTGAGGTAAAAAATATATTGCCAAGTGAAAATGATTATGAAAATCCTCAGACAGTCCAAGAGGCTGAGAAGCTGATTAAGCAGAAATTGGAGGAGTGCAAAAATTATGCAAAACAGTTTACTGACGCTTTTGATTTGAAAACAAAAGTGGAGAAAACAGATATGAAAATTGCAATTAACTATCTGAATTCCACGCTGTCTATAAGAGTGACTAGTGCCCTGAAGGCGGTGAGCCATGAAAGTAAGAGACTTTGTGAGTTGTCGGACAAAGAGAATAAGAATTTAGATGAGATGCTTAAATTGATCCAGAAGAAACTTGGAGACGTAAAAAGCAGTGTAATTGAGCAGATTAAAACAAAAGTTTCGTACCTTGTCGAGCAGTTGAGAAGATTGGTTAAAGATATTCTGGAGCAGCTTAGGAAAATTAGTAGACTGATGGCAACTTACATTGACCAATTGCAGGAGTGGATCAACTCGTCGGACAAATTGACGGAAGAAACCATAGGGGAGGCGGATTACATTATTAATAAAAAACCGGGGAAACATAATAAGGAAGACATAAAAATTGCTGCGCAGAAGATGAAACAATGGGAACAGACGCTTGGGAGTTATAAAGAAGAACTTACTAGGCTGACGACAGATGTTGATGCCAAGGTTAAGGAACTTGCAGGGGCATTTAGTGAGATAGGAGAGGAGGATAAGAAGAATATTAAAGGGATTTTCGATCACGTTAGAGGGAAGGTTGCGCAAATTAAGGGGAATCCAAACGGTCTTGAAAGCATTATTGGTACTTCAGGAAGTTATAAATCCAGAATCGTCGATGTTCTTAATCCTCTAAATAGCAAAGCCCTTGAACTCACCAAAGAGTTCATCGACGCGCAGGCGGCGGAGCTGGTGGAAAGGATTGAGAGGCTGTTGGCAGCGATGCCGGAGAGTGTGCTTAAGGGGCAGAAGGGACAGAGGGGGACGCATAGTGATAATTTAAACGAAGTCAAGAGGGGAATTTCTCAATTTACGCGTAGTATGAAACCTAAGCCGAGTAAGGATGATATTGAGAATTACAAATCGCAGTTTGACTCTTTACGATCTCAGGCTTCAACAGCTATGAATGGCGCCAACGAAGCTTGGCAGAAAGAGATTGAGAAGGAGTTGACACGCTTGCAGGGTGAAATTACTCCACTCCAGCGTTCACTAGGTCAACCGCCAACCCCCGAACAAATAAAACCTCTCCTGCCTAAAATCCAGCTCTGTTTCGAGAGACTTACCAACCTGTGCCAAAGCGTAGGAGGGAATTCTGATGGTCGTACAATGGAAAGTTTTCTCCAGTACAAAAAGCTAGTTGACGAATACGTTCAAACAAATAGTGGTCAAAGTACTTTAGGTCACGGGAGTCAGTCGTCTTCGCAGTTACAACGATACCCCCAACAGTTTCCGTCTGCCCTCGAACAAGCTAAGTTGCTCTCCACCCAACTTCAAGGTGTCATCGCTACCCAAAAGGCTAGCCAAAGTCATGGCCAGCTACCTGGTTGGCCGGGTGCGCAAGCACAGCGTTTGAGTACTGGTCATCCATACGGCCAGTCCGCCACCCCCGCGCCCACGCTCAAAGATCTGCTCGAAAAGTTCGAGACTCAAGTTAAAGCGGAGCTTTCAAAATTGACAACTAACGTCGGCAAGACATCCACCGAAGCAGGCAGCGTACACCAACAATTGGACGCCGTTAAGCAGAACGTCGACGGCCTGAACAGTAAGCTTAACACGGCGACTGGGCAAGCCGCTGGCACCACCGGCAAAACCAACCACGCCGAAAAGCTGGACCAGGCCATCGCGGCAGTCAATGAGCACGTCTCTACATCTACCATCGATAATACCAAGGATGCCCTTGGAACTATGTCCACGCAAGTTACCGACAACCTCACCAAGCTGCTGAAAGCGTTTGCTGACACAGGCGAAATTGTTAAGCAGCAATTGACAAAGCTTAAAGATGAGCAGATCGGCAAGACGGACGACGTTAAACGCGTCGGAAAGAACACTCTTCAAGAAATCCACAATCATCTTCACAAGCTGCAAAGCGAAAAGTTACATCAGGCCATTAACTCCGCACAGTCCTTTGACACTTTTGCCACGCGAACGTGTGAAGAAAACATTGTCGAACTGGAACGACACGTCAACGATCAAGTCAATTCCGCAATCTCCGAGCTGAGTACCTTATCCCGCAAGCGGTACGTTTCTTCTGTCAAATCGTTGCTCACCGAATTTGCTAACAAGGTTCATAGCGACTTGAAGCAGTTACCTCTGCCTATCGATAACGATCTAGATAGAGGATTTAAAGGGTTCGTGAAAAAGTTCGGAGAGCATTTCGTTAAGAGGATTGAAGACATTAAGCAGATTGAGACTACGCCCACCAATCCAAAATCCACTACTCCGCAGAAATCGCCACTCAGCCAGGCGGCAGGCATATTAAACAAGGCTCTCGGCTCATTCGTACACGAGGTCAAAACGCAGACTGAGTTCACGTCCGACATTAAGAAGATTCGGCCCGTGCATGACGCTTTACTCAATTTATTCGAGGGCCTCAAATCGTCAGAGCATTTCAACCACGAATATTCAATAAATCTTGATGCACTGAAGAAGACTTTTCAAGGCTTCCATCCTATAAATTTCGGCGATCCCACGACAGTCCTCACACAGGCCCTCAAGCAGGGTATCACAGACTTGACCAGAGAGCTCGACAAGGCGTATGTCAACAAGTACTTAGGGGCAGAGAAAATTACTTGGCAGAATTCAACGTCCGAATCTACGGACAAAGCAAAGAAGTGCGCCAAGATATGTCTCACGTCAATTTACACGCTGTTCAACGGACTCCATGAGATATTTTACAACAGTCTCAGAGACTGGAAAAAGTTCAGCGTTGACGGTAAAGAGGGGACAGGCGAAAATAAATACCGCCTGAAAACACATCTCGAGTCTCAAGGCTACAAGATTTATCATCTTATTAATAAAAAGAACACCGGTTGGGAGCTTGCCAAAATGCTACGTAATGGTTTCAGTGAACACGGTGAATTCAAAGAGGAGCCCGATGCCAAGCGTAATACTTATGACAGATATTATCTATATATCGATAAATCGAATGGCGTCATATCTAAACTGTTCGGTTTCTTAGAAATGTATAATCAGGTCTGCCACTTCTATATTCCTTTGTCACCAAGGTACCCATCTTCTATCTACGAGATGCTGGCATGGACTACCGGCCTCAAGCATCACCGTATTTTCAAGAAACTCGAAGAAAGTTGCAAGTCATATTACGACGTTGAAAAGGAGCCACACATGGTATCGAAAATGCACGGCGTCATGGCATATGGCTTAAGCACTTTATGCGATTATGCTTATGATTTGCTTATTCTTATTGCCGGCCACGGCGATGACGCAACCTACTACGGTTGTGAATATATGAACAATTCACTTAATTTACTGTATATGGACAAACCTGCAGGGTGCTTTGAAATGTTGTTAGATGTTATTAGACGTCTATGTTGTGTGTTTACATTCTTACGTGTTCAGTGTACTGTTCCTAAATCCTGCTTCGGATGGCGTGAGTGTAAATTTGGAAAAGATCTTGAAGCTCACGGTTGGCAGTGTATTCCACATTCCGATCAATTGCCCTCCACCAATGAATGTTCTGTTACTTCACCGCTGCAATTATATTTCAACGATAGCCTTAGAGGCATGCTGCCTCATCATGTGACATCCAACAACTCCAAGCTTTCCTGTTATACTTGTAAAAACGCTCCTAATATGCCGTGCCTAACACCTCTCGGTTTCACAAAACTCTCCGGTTCTGTTAAAACAGGCTCCGACCTGTGTTCCCTTCTCGACATTATTTGTGGTAATGATGGCGTCCTAACCAACGTTTATTCACAGCTGTCATGTGTCATCGCACTCCCTCCTCAGGCATTGTCCGATGTATTCTTGTTTTACTGTCAGCTTACACAAAACTGGGAGAGGATGGAAGCGACGCATACAAGCCGTGATACCATCCAAAATGCCGTCTTCAATAAGATAAAATATACCGTTGCGTGTGATGAGAAGGTGGCTACCGACCTTCTTAATCCTTGCTTGGAATTGTACTATTCCGAATCGCATAAATCCCACAGCTTCGATGAACATCCCGATCTCAAATACCTCCTCGGCTGCGGTGAAAACAAATGCGGAAATTATCTCCAGTCTCTAAATCGTCCGGCATACTCCACTTTTGAACAAAAGCATGCCAACAAATATATTTCATGGTTAGCTCACACATCTGAAAAAATTGTTACTCTACTTGGCAATTTAGTCGACGCCTTGACATCGATCTCGTGCCAGCAATACGGGTGCCGAGAGTGCCATCAATCAGGTAAATGCATGGGCAAACAGCATGGCAAACATGTATGTGGATGCCAATCCGCCGTCCATTGCCAAGGTATATTGCCTACCCTATATAAATTCGGATTTACATATGGCAATGTAAAACACTTGGTCAACTGGAAATCATGCAACGACTTGGTAACACATCTAGAACAGGTTAAAAAGTCGAAGCATATGGAAGCATGGTTGAAAGCAATTGACACCTTCATCTGGGCAATTCGTACACCATTCTCCTACTTGTTGTTAGCCCTCTGGTCCCTATCTTTTCTCTACCTGCTGCACATCACCGTCGTCCGCCTCGACGTCCTGAGGATACGCTCCCACCTGAGATCACCCGCAAGCCACCGCATCGCCGCGCAGTCCCTCCTCGCCGCCGCACGCGTTGGGAAAATAGCCAACGTCAAGTACTTCTCACCGTAATCGTGCCTTCACGTGTGATCTGTGCATCACCCACTCAACCACTCACTCACCCACCCACTCACCTACCCACTCACCCACATACTCAACCACTCAACCACCCACTCACTCACCCACTCAACCACCTAATCACCCACTCACTCACCCACTCACACACTCACACACTCAACCACTCACCCATTCACTCACCCACTCACTCACCCACCTAATCACCCACTCACTCACTCAACCACTCACCTAATCACCACCCACTCAACCACCCACTCAACCACCCACTCAACCACTCAACCACCCACTCAACCACCCACTCAACCACTCAACCACTCAACCACTCAACCACTCACCTCCCTCCTTCACTGGTCGCTTCGCTCCCTGCCTTTCACCCCCTCCATCACCTCCTCCGTCGGCGTCCTTCACCCAAATCCTCATTTTCCACTTCCTCCCTCCACCCCCAAAATCGCCTTACCCCAGCCCATCTTCCTCCCTCATCGCCCTCTCTCGCCCCTTCACCTCCCTCACCCTGTCCACCCACCTCCCTCACCCCCTCGCTGCCTCCTCCACCTATAATCGCCTTTCCCCAAACTCCCCCAAATCGCCCTGAAAATGTCCTTAATAATTCCCTTAATTTACTTACTAACCTGTGCTCTGGCTTGGAGAAGTTCCTTGGTTACAATAAAGAGTCCAAAGGTTACGACGGCACTGGCATCGTGTACTCGGACCTTGACAGGCTCTGCGACGGGGTGATGTCTTTCCTTCATGGTGTTCTCAGTGGAGTGAAGGATGATGAGAGCGTTTTCACATATAGCTTTATATCACAAAATGACCTTAATAAAATTTTAGAACATATGCATCTTGGTGATTATGGTTTTCGTGTTTGCATAGACCATGTGAGTGATATCCTTAGTGAGTATGATAAACACTTAAATGAGAAAACAAATGCAGTTAACACGTCACTTAGCGAACTTAGTACTAATTTAAGTAATCAATATGTCACACAAGTAAATGAGAAGATTAATGAGCCGCTTGAAAAGCAGCTGACTGCTTGGCGGACCACTGTCCAAAGCCTCGAAACTGAGGTGAACAAAATTCAGACTGAGAAAATTAATGTTTTAGATACTACATTGAAAAGTAGTGTGTTGCGTGAATTCGTGCCTGTGAAAAGTGTGGTGGAGCATATGAGAAGTGTTAGCTTGGACCCAAACCTGATGGACCAGGCGAAGAGGGTGGACGGGGAGTTGCTAAAGACGAAGGCGAAGTTGGATGCGGAGATTGCAAAGCAATCCATAACGCTTCAACAGAATATGATCGTGCAGTTCAATAGAGTCGAAAATAGCATTTTGATTTTGAAAAGGAATAATGCTGAACATTTTAAAAAAATAAATGACTCCGTCAAAGAGGCTCGGCAGCTGATTGACCAAGTGGATGGAACATATAAATCATTAGTTACATGGCATTTTGACGAATTGAAAAAAGAGGTAAACAAGGTTCAAGATGCTCTATTCAAAAAAAAAGCAGAGCTTGAAGTCTTGGTAGATCAGGCTCGGACAGCGTTCGAGACGTTGAAGGAGAAGGTTCAGGTTGGCACCAACGGTACGGCAGATAGTATAGAGTACAATTGGACACAACTCCAAATGCAGATTCAGAACCTTGTCAGGGATGTTAAGGGGAATACATATTTACGCGACGGCCTTCAGGGGATTGTAGACGGAGTGAAGACGTACGCTAAGGGTTTTGAAGACAAGACTACGTTTGGCCTTACCGTGCAGGACTGGATTAAAAAAACATTGGAACGCAAAATAATCATACAGAAGCTTAATGCGTATGTGAGCGGTGGTAACAGTGGTCGTGTCAACTTTCAAATGAATGAATACAATATAGGGAGGATTACGACTGTAATTAAGCAATATCTTAAGACACAAATTGAAGATGCGGTTAATGTGTTGAAGACAAGAATTCAATTTAATCTGGACGAAACAGAGATAACTAGACATGTCAATGCTGTTCAGTCGGTTTGCAGTGCATTTGCGGAGAGTCTTGAGCCAGAGATCACTGATACAGCTATCCCAGCTTATGGTGTAGTCTCCGGAATTGAGTCGCAGCTACGGAATGGTGGAATATTCATAAACACTTCGCGTGCTACTTCCGATCCAAATCTTACTGAAACCGTTAAACTCATTCTAAGCTCTCTCGTTGCAACCGCCCAGTTAGTTGGAGGGGTGGTCCATTCATTCACCAGCGACGCTCATGCCAAGCTCGGCAAGAACGTTGATGAAACAAAAACAAAAGTCGAATTAATAGGCAAGTATTTTGACAAGAATGATGACAAAGAAGCTAAAGCACTATCAACCGAAGACTTCGGGAAAAAAATTGACGACGCCTTGAAAGTTGTCAACGCAAAAACCACAGTGCTGGATAACATCATAAAGAATTCAAGCGGCACGCTTCACATTGCTGTTGGAAACCTTCAAGCAGTTTTTCAGAAGCTTGAACAAATGAAGAATGGTGAGGATACCAAAGATGACACAATTAATGCGGAGAAGAAAAAAGCGGGAGCCAAAATGCAGCAATTGAAAAATGATCTCGACGAAAAATTTTATGCACTCGAATTAACCATTGCCAGAGCCAACGAAACTCTTACACAGGCCATAAAGAACGTACAAACCGCATTACTGAGCGCTAGAGAAGCATCCTTAAATGAAGTCGATAAACTGAGGAAAAATCTCCTAGAAACCACCGAACAAGCATTCAAAAAGGTAACCATCGAAGTAAAAATATTATTTGCGAACTCCCACAAGGCCGACCTAAAAGCCCTAAACGCGCTGGTTGAGAAACACAAAAATATAATAGAAACAATTCTTAAAAACGACAAACTCACGGGTCTAAAAGGCCTCTTAAAGAAGCTAAACGATAGCTATGCTTCTGCTAGAAAACTCACTGACCTCAAAGATCAACAAAATGTTGAATCCCTGTCACAAAAACTACAGGAATATTTAGATAATATTTTTATGTACGTCCTTTTCGACCTCCCCAAACATCTCCCCTCCTCTCCATACTCCCCCCAACTCCAGTCCATCCACACCGCTCTGACCACCCTCCTCTCCCACCTGTCCGAGAAAAAACACTTCGACCACCAGGTCCCCGGAATGCTCGCGCAACTCAAGACGTCCGTCGAATCCCTCCACTCCACTAACTTCGGCAACCCCGCGTATCCCGTGCTCGACGCCTTCCCCAAGAGCCTGGAGCGCTTCGTCGAGCAGCTCGACAAGGCGTATGTCAACAGGTACTCTGGTAAGACATACAATGACGATGAGAGTCACATGTACGCCAAAGTGCTCCTGACAAATTTCTACACGCTTCACGAAGAAATTAATACATTGCACAAGGGGTGTATGCGAGGCGGCGAGTGGGAGAACAAAAAATGCTGCGAAAACGAAAGACGCAGAGAAAATCCCCTCGGTGCATTTATGAAGCGCTGTGGATTCCAAGTCGCTAAGGATGAAGACTCCAAGGACGGCGAATTAAAATATCCCTCCGATCTCAGTGGTAAGCAGATTCATGAGAAATTACTTGCAAAGACATTTGCAGGCGCCTCCAACAATGAGCATCTCAAAAACTGTGAATCAAATACAAGCAAGAAGCCCGCACAGTTCAATTCCGTTGATCTCGTCGACTGCCTGCTACACCATGTCGACAAGTATAGTGAGCTGCGTCACTTAGTTGCCCGCCCGAAACCACGGCACCCGTGTAATGTCTATGAAATGCTTATGTGGTGCACTGGTCTGACGTACAATCCTGTGTATTCTACTATGCTCGACATGACTCTCACTGACATGTTTGCCGACTCGAATAAGGCGGATGCCGGCGACGGTATCTCCGCGACAGATCTCAGTGCCGTATCCGTAGATGCTTATCCAGAGAACATCACATATGACACCGTACGAAAAGCCGTGACGGACATGTGTTCTATTTCGTATGATGTCCTCTGCACCGTCGTCGGTCACGGAGACGCGTTCACAAACTACGCCATCGACTTTTGCACCAACTCCACGAAACTGTATTACCCCGGCTCCGGCGAGGACTGTTTAAAGATGTTGCTTGAAATCCTCCGTAGAATGCTCCCGCCACTCAAGTTCATGTATAGCCAGTGCGGCCTGAATTCACAGTGCTCCGGCTGGTCTCAATGTCAATACGGCAAGGACATCTTACCGTCTAACTGGCCGTGTGATGAACACCCTGGTGATGAATCTAGTTGCCGTCCCAGATCCCCCCTCATGTCGTATCTAAATGACTGTCTGCCAGGCCATCTGCCTCATGAGGTGTCCTCCATTGGTTGCAAGTCAGCATGTAAAACGTGTCCCAAGAGCCCACCCGGTATGCCTTGTCTCACACCACTTGGATTTAGGGGGTTCTCAGGAAGTACGCGGACAGGCAAAGAGCTAAGTAACGTGCTGAGCAAAATCATAAGTAACAAGCTTGCTGCACTATTGTCCTGCCTACTGCCCAAAGCGCCAAAGACGTTGCCGGAGCATTTCGGTTTCGCGTTATCCCTCGTTAGCGGATGGAACGGTAGTGCACAAGCGTCCAAAAAGCACTTAATACAAGATGCCTTATCAACGTCTATAAGTGAGGCATCCATATACCTCCATGATCAGCCGAGTGACTTTACCGATGCACTGCGTAATACATACGGCAGCAGCCAGAACGTTCATAACCATGCTAATCATAACCATACGTCGGCCGACTTGTCGAGTCTCTCAATGGAGCAGTCATGCGATAATCAGCCGTGCGCCCCGTACCTTCGATCGCTATCCAGTGATTCATACACTCGCTTGGCCGAGAAGCATAAGAATGTCTACCTGTCATGGGCCACATACCTACCATGGACGTTGCACCAGTACCTTAAAACTCTGCTTGACGAGTTCCAACAAATATCCTGCAGAGACTGGGGATGCCGTCGTTGCCAACACGGTAATAGCTGTAAGTCCGGTAACCACGGTAGCTTCGATACCCCTTGTCACTGCAAATCTATTGTATCGTGTAAGGGCGCCATGTCAACATTATACAGATGTGGTTTTGCGTTCGGCAATGCTACAGTATTAAGTGACAGAAGTAAATCAAACACCTGTACAAAATTCGGCTTGATGTTGAAGAGAGTGATAAACTCGAAGCATTTCTCCACACTCTTCGAGAAATGTGATCAGTTCCTCTTCAAAATCCGCGAACCTTTCATATGGACTCTCGTAGCCCTCTGGTCCCTCTCTTTGCTCTACCTGCTGCACATCACCGTCGTCCGCCTCGACGTCCTGAGGATACGCTCCCACCTGAGATCACCCGCAAGCCACCGCATCGCCGCGCAGTCCTCCT